TTCGTTTATTGTAATTAATTCATTCCAAGGAGACAGACGAGATTCCCTTCTCAATAAAAACAAACGGAACTTGGAAAATATCACTACAGCTGTACGGTACACTAAATTGAGACCACTCACCACAGCAATGAACATGAACCAGAACCACAGGAATACGTAGATTTTCTCGTTGACTGCGTTTAGTGGTAATAGGCATAATCCATCGAATTTCTGAATGGTACCGGACGTACCGTATTTCTCAAACGTGCACTTTGTGACTTTAGGAAATATCCGGGACATTGGATCCCCTCGTTCCTTGGGATCCATGATGATGAATCGGAAAACGTCGAGACCGTACGTCTTGAACTCGTCTTCAAAAAAGTAGTTCAGAAACAGCATCTGGCCGACGACATTGACGAAGTTTAACGCTTCGCAGAAGAAAAACCACATAGCGTATAAGTTGTGCGTGTGTAAGTTAACGGCAAAGTATTCTACCAGCTGACTCATGCTGTTGGACTTTCGCTCTTTGTCAATCATAACGTTGTTGAGGTCGTTAACCAGTACCCGTATCCGGCCACCTTCRTATATTTTCCACACATACCTAGGTATGTAGAAACACACAGCTTGAAAGAACAAGACGAAGCACACCCACTGATAATACTTTTGATAACTGACCAGGTCTTGGCCTTCCCGGTAGGGCCCGACGCCAGGTTGCACGGCATCTTTGCCGATACGGCCGCGAACCTTTTTGTCCACGGTGAACGTCGAGTGTGTCCAACAATACGAGTCCATGATGTGAGTTGGTACACCGATCACTAAGCAGTCTATCGGGTCACCAACGAACTGACGGGTGGTGACGATTAATGAGAATATGACCAGCACGACGACGGTTACTTTGTAGTGTAGCCGGAATACGTTGTTATCAATACACACGGTATCCAACTTTAGCAGACCCCTCACGGATCCAAAAACGTCAATCATGTTGCTAGCTGCTGATGGCTGAAATATTCAATCAAATGGAATCTCGGGGATTTCGTTTGAAAACAACCAAAAATACTGTTTACTCGGCCTGGGGTAAATGTATATATACGGACCGTTTAAACAAGATGCACGGCTCACGATGGAATAAACAGAAATTGTGGCTGTTAGTGATGTGACGACGACAGATTTTAAACGTTGCTCATACTTGTGTGTGTGCGTGGGTACTGTGATTARTGTGATTGCGTTATGGGAGACAAATCAATCGAATCCGACGACACTAAATGTTGTAATTAGTTGATTAAGAAGGGGCAGGGGTCCATAAAAGGCTACTTTAGGAAGGGACTCGGTATATCTATACCGGATATATATCTATATCGGTATATATCTAAACGGTTGTGATTACGAGTTCCGTATAATTGTTTAACTATTATACATTGTATTATAAATCCCAGAAATAAATTGCAATAAGCATTTGTTCATGATGTACATGTAAACATTAACAACTAACAATAGTACCAACTGATAAAATAAATTGCTTGTAATTATATTACGATTATCATTATTAAAAACATAGTTRTTATGAAAAATCGATTAATATCATTACSGGACAGAGTATTTCACAAAACGAAAAATATAAACATTTGTTAAAGAAGCTAAATATTAACAAAACCCATAAAATATTTACAAATATGCAACGAAAAAAAAAAAATGTTTTTCTACTAACTTATTATTCTAACGAATATTGAATCAATTATCCATATATTTTATTCTCATAAGACTGTATACACTCAGTAACGAGATGTAATAACGTAATAACATATAAATCTAGCATTTTATTATATTTATAGAAAATATTCTGTACACTATAGTAAATGCGATATGATCAGAGCCTGAACACTAGTATTATAATTAGTTAAGTGAATATAATATTATAGAAATAWAGACCATGATACATATATATTTGTAATGATTAACTATTATAAATTCCTTATGACTATTCTAAAAATATTTTTTTAGGTATAAAATCCAAAAATGTTATTTTAAGTAAGATTTGACATTTAAAAAAAATGAAGTTTTGTTGCGCATGCGCAAAACACATGAACTTAAAAAAATTTAAGTCATACGAATTTATGATCGATTAGTCTAGTTCAATGTCCCGTAAGCAGAATTGAAAGATATTTATTGGGTAATGTGTGTACCTACTCTGTTTTTTGGGACATACAGTATATATTAGGTATATTTAAATATATTTAATTATTAAATTGTCATAAGTATACCACTWTCTATGTGTGTAATTGTGAATGTCATAAAAATAATTACAAAATTATGTTTCTTTACATAATAACTTAATAAAATAAAAATATTTTTATCAATATAATTTTATGGGAGTTTTGTCAATTTGTAGCTGCCCAGATGTATCATTAGTCTAATCTATGTTGGTATTTATTGTTAAGTGTTATATATAATTAAAATAATCATAGCAATAAAAAGAAATACTGATAGAATAAGAGCCTCTATTTAGATATCTTTGCATTTTAAATATTGGAAGTAAACACGTATTATAATATGTTTACAGTATAATGTATACGTTCCATTATTATTATTATTGACCTCCGTCACCGATAATATTATATTGAAGAAATTATCAATTTTTATCTTTTTGCAGCTGTTGTTAAGCACCATTTTGACTCATAGGTCATGCATTTATTCAATGAATGTTAATCGTACTGTTAATATTATATTGTACAAGTAAAGTACAAACTACACAAATAAAGCATATTTAGATTTCAAAAATATTGATAAATAACCATAACCATTCTGTCGCGTCATCATTAATCATTTAATAATATACAAATATCATTGATACAATATTTAATCAATGAACATATTATAGTTACATTTCTAAAGGACATTGTTCGCTAAAAAATAACCAAATTTTCTCATATATAATATTTTAGTTATATATTAATCATAAGCTTCACTTATTATTCAAACTTATAAAAATTGCTTAAAATTKAATCATAGTGATAATAATTTTCTAAATAATATGTTAGTCATTATGGCTTATTGTGTGTTTTAATACTGAAATTATATTTATTTACTAACAATTAAATAATATATTATATTTTATATTATTATTCTTATTTAAATGATAATTAATAATTAATGCATAGGAATAGACATTTTAAGAAATTTGCTTTGGAATTTCATAAAACAGACTGATTTATAGTTTTATATCTTCWGATATCTATAACTCTGTTCGAAATAATTTGGTTTGTAGGTCTTAATTTAGGTCAGCAATCCAAATATACTGTTATGGAACTGTGGTTCYAATACATATAATTAAACGCACGATTAGATATTAATGATACAGATTTTTATTACTGATTATAATTTACTAATTTTTTACAAGMAATATATAAAATTMTTTTCTTAAATATAAGTTAATTATTATGTTCTGTTATAATACGACTGACTAGTGACTAACCTCCTCCTTCTTGTGTGTCGGCCTGCCGGACGCGGAATCCCCTGGTCAGCGAATTCCTGTCGACGAGCCATCGATCAACACACATTATAATATTTTATTATAATATAATAAGATGTTAATATTATCAAATATTATTCAGGGGTTTACAACACCCCCACTCTTAATGAGACACGGGGGTCTTATGATCGCCGTGTTTCATCAAATTTAAAAGAGTCTGCAACTTGGAATGTCGGAGATCAGTTCAGCATAATATTAATTAAAGTACAATATGATAATAAAATGCATTTATGTCAGTGAAAAATATTATACTCTGTTGTGTTCCTAAATACTATTCTAGGGTTCTTCTGGTATTTCAGGGTTGTACATTTTTATAGAATGTTTCCTTATAGTTTATTAATAAATACAATTATTGTTATTTAAAAAACAAAAAAATTACATAAATGAATATAACATGAAATTATATTTGTTGAGTGAATATTGAATTTGGTAGTAAATTCATAATTTTACTTAATTCTATTGCTTTGCTTGCAAAAATATTTAAATTTTTAATGCATTTTGTGTTTATGAGGTTCTGTGGTACTACTCCTTAAAAATTTTCTGTAATGTCAGATCGAGTTATGTTTCTAACATTTTTTTATATAATATCTAATTTAACATTTCTATTTGATTTACTTTCTGCCATAAAAATGGAGTTATCGATGTTTATTTTATAAGATTGGGAAATTTTTATTCTACCCATATTTGTGATTTCTATTGGGAATTTCTGAAGTGAATTTGCACATGAGATAGTACCTAGTGTACTATATTGAGTATAATATTATAACCATGCATTGGTTTTCGTCAACTTGTGCTAAATATTCGTATTCAAACTTATGTATTTTAAATTGAAAGTCCTTAGGAATTGTTCGGGGTCCATTAGTGAGGATATTTCACATAAGTCAGATCCTAAACGGTGATAGATTAGAGAATCTTGTTTACAAAGCTTGTCTACCCTTAAACTTTTGCATTTTTCCCATTGTTCTGAATTTGTGAAAAATTTCTCGTTGAATGAGAGAAAATCTCATTTCCAATCTCATGGAATTCACAGATAATTTGTAGTTGTTCCTCTTCCGAGAGCGTCTCAGGAACTAGCACTTGTATAGTAACCTGAAAGTTTCGAAAGATGTATTGTAACATAGAACGGATGATTTCCCATTAGAATGCCAGTGCATAGACGTGTACAATTAGTGAACGTCTTAATTCTCGGTCTCTCACGTGTACTCGTGTATACCCGACGAATTATTATTATTATTATTATTATTACGCACTTAGTACATACCAATATTTGTCCTAAATGTTCCATTTCCTTTTTATTGATCTGAATGTTCTGAATGTTCTTTGAGGCTCTGTATATCTTGTACTTTTAGTAAAAATTTGGCTAACGCCTTAACCACACTATATAATAATTAATAAAAATTTCACTAGTCGAACGTGGTAGTGTATAAGTATACTGTAACGTATCCCACCGCTGCCACCAAAAAATGTTATGGAACCGCGGTTCCAACACAAATAATTAAACGMACGATTAGATATTAATGATATAGATTTTTATTACTGATTATACTTTACTAATTTTTAAAAGAAATATATAAAATGATCTTCTTAAATATACGTTAATTATAATGTTCTGTTACAATGCTCTATTCTAATACGACTGACTATAACCTCCTTCTTGTGTGTCGGCTGTGGCTTGGCCAGACGCGGAATCCCCTTGTCAGTGAATTCCTGTCGGCAAGCCGTTGATCAACAGACACTATAATATTATAATAAGATGTTAATACTATAAAATATAATATTTTATTATTCAGGGGTTCACAACACTAACCCATAATTTGGTAAACGGACACTTTGTACCATCTATTATATTGTTTGAGTTGATTATTACGGACACTTTATGCAGGGAAAATAAATTGATAAAAATCGATCGTGGACACTTTGAACGGTATAAATAAACCGGAAAATATATTTTACAAGATAAGATAAAATCAAATTGCTCAAAATTGTAGATCACGAATGGTGATCACGTTTGGTGATAGGTGATACATTAGATCATAATCTATACACTCTAAAATACATCGCCAAATCAAACTACAGAACCGATGAGTTATATACTTATAACTTATAAATTATATTATTTTCATATTTATAATTTTTTTAAATATTGTTATTTATACCACAGTATGAATTATTTACAAAATGGACTGATTATAACCACGATTCGAGGGATAAAATATTAAAGCTGAAAACCCTTGCTATAAYTAATATGAAAAACTGCGCTATTAATTATCGTAGAAAATCAAAAAATTGAATTATTCTGTCTGTAACTTATGAAAAGAGTTCGAACCAGACTTGAAGAAAATTCACTAGCTAATTCATTAACTATTATTATTATTTTTGTTTGTGTCTGTTAACTACCTGTGTTACAAATTATATGGTATGCACAAATTTTTTTTCTATACCTGAAATAATACTA